AGGTCTAGACCGAACTCCTTAATTCCTTATTACTTCCATCTGATATCATATTGGCTCAACAGTATTTCTAAGTGTTTAGCCATAATTATGCTTTGTTTTGGGGTGTATTCACAGGTGTCATTAGGAGCAGTTGTCTTGAAATCGGTTGTTAAGCATCTTGGTGCGGTTTGTTTACCTTTTTGAACATAGCAACCAAACTCGCATGCGGGACAAAACAAGAGGGCTGGGATCGCCAAGAAAGGGTGGTCTCGGTCCGCTTCCAAACGGATGCTAATGCTTGCTTATTTGTTCATTTGCTCTTTGTGACACCAAAAAACATAAATATTAGAAGCATTGAAGTGCTGCATGAAACTCACTGGAATTGGATTTCCCCACATGGGTCCTGATGATGCAGGATGATAATCGCCCAAACTGTCCAATCAATGAGTTGATGGGAGGTCTGTATCACTCCAGATCTGCGTGAACAGGAACCAGACCAGAGCTAAAATGCAACAATGTATGATTCTTTTCCCTCAGCCTGAAATGAATCGTGCTGCATGTGTGAATTCACCCAAAGAAACAAATTCCCCATTTTTGGCTCATTTATTTTAAATATAAATATGATTAAAGCTAGTGAAGTCTGTCATTTGAAAAGCTTGATGCAGAGCTAGTGTGTCATAATAAAGAGTGAGCTGGATAGTTTCCTGCAGGCACTGCTGCTGGGAATTTTAAAGCAGATACTTGAGAGTCAGCTGCTAAACTGCAACCAGTTATGCTACCAAAGAAGGTACATGATTCACATTCGACCCTTCACATTCAACTGTTATGTCCCTCTTTGCTTATTGTCTGTGTACAGTTTTGGATTTTCACATTATTGCTTTAGCCTCATTCTACCAACTTAAGATTGAAGATTTGAAAACAAAGACTCCCCTGTGGGGTCTAGTAAATGAGTAATACACACACTTGCTTATGCACACTGGCTTGGCGACATTGTTTATGTGGAAATATGATAAATTAGTACCAATATAGTGTATAAAATACAGTATATACTGTATACACACACTGAGCTGCTGTATACAGGGTAATATAATCTATTATCTCCATACAGCACCTGGCATATACTGGATACAACATGCACCTGTTCAACTGCTGGTGTTGCTAGAACAACTACAGGAATAGCATTAGTAGATTAACAGACAATATTGACAGTGTTTGGTATGTCTGTGTGTGTGTGTGTGTGTGTGTTTGTAGATCTCTGTGGTGAAGGAGGAGCGTTTTTACCCCAAGTGGAACCCTTCAGCACCCCCAACCTCCACAGGTGAGGTTGGATTCCAGTCTGGCATCATAGCTGGCAAACTGGCACTCAACACCCTGCACCAGGAACTGGCTGCCCAGGGATTCATACAGGTACCATCATGCACTTGGTGTGTGTGTGTGTTAGTGGGACATCGGCTCACACTAAGCTCATTCTGCAATCTGTTTTTTATGTATTTATGCAAGTATGACCAGAAATATTTTTTTTGGTGCTGCACGCTAACAGTTGCTGTGTTTCTGTACTACCTTTCCCAGAAATCAGTTTAATCAATAGTTATCTTCCTCTCCAGGTGTATGTCGACCAGGTTGATGCAGATATTGTTGCAATTACTCGTCACTGTCCAAGCACGCACCAGTCTGTGGTGTCAGTGTGCAGGACAGCCTTCTGGAACCCCAAAACCCACCAGTACAACACCAACGTCCCACCCATGTTCATACCTGGTATGACGATATCTTAATAAATAGAAAATCCGTTTCTAAATATTTTTGTTGCATTATTTTGTATTATTCATGTGTTTCTTGCACTTTCTCACATATACCAATTCTTTAACTCATGCAACTTAAGCTCATTTTCATCTGTAGTCCTGGGCGGAGGTCACTGGTGATAACCACATTCATACACCGATGCACAGCATTGGGAGCAATTTGGGGTTCAGTATCTTGCTCAAGGATACTTCGATGTAACTGGCAGGAGGAGACGGGGATCGAACCAACAACCTTCCGATTAGGGGATGACCCGCTCTGCTCTGCCTCTGCATCACAGCCGCCCCCAATCCCAATGCTGATAATATTTTTCTCCCCCCTCTCTCTATTAAGGGAGGATAGAGGAAGTGGTACTGGAGGCAAGAACAGTGGAAAGACATGCTGGGAGTTACAAGAAGGATGACAACTACATCAACGGCATGCCAGAATACACTGTGGAAATAAAAGAGCATATACCGGTAAATATTCGGTGTAAGATATAGAATGATTGTAATTCTGCATATGGTTGAAATAAATGAGCATATCAATAAAGTAATTATAATATTTATATATAGTTACAGGAGAGTACAGTGGTGAAGCAAGCCGAAGTGACTTCTAAAGGCCGGTCAGAGTTTGTGCAGGAAATCACCTTTCAGAAGCTGACACCTGGCAGCGTCATTGCCTTCAGGTAATCCACACACAGACCTTCATTATTCTGGAGAAAACATTTCCAGGCGTATTTATCTGTCTTTCCATCGTTTGTTTAAAGCTAATTCATTAGCATTGTACATTTTGTTCAGTTGTTGGTTACAAGGTTTTCTGTTGTTCTCTCTCCTCCTCACAGGGTTAGTCTGGACCCCAAGGCCCAAAAGCTGGTGGGGGTGCTGAGGTACTATCTGTCCCAGTTCAGCCCCAAATACAGGAGAGGCAGTGTAGAAGATGAAAACCCACCAGAAGCACTGCAGATGCCCCTGGCACAGTGAGTACATCGCTGCTGCCCTAATGAGAGATGACTTTTGTCATTTTGTCAATGTAACTCCTACATTGGTTATATGCAGATAGTAAGGGTTGAACCCAACTGAACTAGGTTTACCTTTTACTTGTAGGTTAGACTTAGCATCCTTTAAGAATAAAATTGTGATAGACAAGAGTTACTTAACTTTCTAATTCTGTTTCCAGTTGTTGTTTTCACTGAATATGTGAAAAAAAGTTGAATAAATTCTTTGTGGCTCTGGAAGGATCTGCACGAACACAACATTATGGAAAGGACCCTATAGAGATAGACCTTTTGTTTAACCAGAAACAGCTGTAATATCACTATTACTCACCACCAAACTCCATAAACAAAAACGCTAATTTTACGTAACTAGTTACCATTGTAACATCTTAACTTTCTTTAAAGTTGACACAAACCAAATAAAACTCACTAAAACAGTCTTTGTTAGTGTCCAACAATTACCAAATAAAATTCACAGACGTAGATGATAAAAACAGCAGTTTCAGTCGCTCTACTCAGCAGACCAGCTATGGAAACAAACCACAGAGAGGCTGTGAAAGCAACACAAGCAGAGGGAGAGTGACACCATGTGTCAATAGTTGTTTGCTGCTATGTTAATGCTTAAAATCTTGTATATATACCCTTTAAAGCTGTGTGTGTTTCACAGGCTGATGTCTAAGCTGACATTAGCAGACATGAATGTCTTGCTTTTTCGCTGCGACTCAGAAGAACAAGAAGATGGTGGAGGCTGTTACAGTATCCCAGGATGGGAGAGCTTCAAATATGCTGGACTACAAGGTAGTTACACAGTGGCTTCACACAGTTTCTAGTTCATCAAGTGTACACAGTATACTGAACAAATTATAAGGCATCTTAAAATAATGAGCAAATCACATTTTTGAGATGAATTTAAGCATTCAGCATTGCTGTCAGCCGAGAAGAGATAAGGAAGATAGCTTGCAATTTACAACACTTGCTATCTAGCAGTTGGGGGTTTAAACACAAAACTCCATACAGTGTTCTAGAGAATCTATACAGTATCACAAAAGAAAATACTGTGATAGTCAAATTTCCCCCCTGGTAAACAGAGGTGTTTTTTGCTATGTTACAACCGCTTAACTTTAAAACTGTACATAATTCATCTTTATATATCTAAATCAAACAACACTGAGGAAACATATATCCATTACATGCATTAAAGCACTTTCACAGCCACCCAGTTGAAGTATGAGTAAACCTCTGGACAGGCTTGTTTTGTCTTCACTCGGATTGTGGACCTTAGTTTTTCTCACATTACTGGCCTAATATAACAGCAGTGTTAATGTAGTTGGTGTGTGTGTGTGCAGGTCTGATGTCAGTGTTGGCTGATATCCGTCCCAACAATGACCTGGGCCATCCTGTTTGCGCTAACCTCAGACAAGGGGACTGGCTGATAGACTATGTCTCCAACAGACTGATACACAAAGATGGACCGCTGGCACAGGTGAGGCTTTTACAGTTTTAAAAAGCCACAAACAAAAAGACATATTTCTTATAAATCTCTACTGGTATCTAGCCATGAACACAGATATGGTTTTATTTGTTCATGTTTTGAAATAACTTCCTCTGATATTTATGCTTCAGTATAGTGACAGTGAATGGAATATTATCAATAGTGCTGTTAACTGACACTTGTTGAATTATTTTGAAAGTTATTTTTCATTGTTTTGAGCATCTTTTTGCATGGCCAGACACCCCCAGGGTGAGGAATATGGATATGTGACGATAAAAAGTTTGGGCAGTGGGTCTTTGTTTTGCAATGAGTATCCACGGCCCTTAAGTTGGATCCTGGAATCCTGGAACAGATTTTCCATTGTAACATTGTGTGTCTGCAGGTGGGTCAGTGGTTGACTGCCATGTTCACCTTCTTGAAACACATCCCTCGCTACCTCATCCCCTGTTATTTTGATGCCATCCTGGTGTCCACCTACACCACAGCCCTGGACGCAACCAACAAACTCATGTCGAGGTAGGGTGGATTCTGGAGATGACATCTAATATTTAAATGTAAAACTGAACTAATTTGTTGCAGCCAAGTGAAAATTCGAACAAGCACATTTCTTTCTGGATTCCTGATTTTTCCACCTTCTCGTCGAAACAGTTTCATCCAGAATGGCTCCAGCTTTGTCCGTCACCTGGCGCTGGGTTCAGTCCAGATGTGCGGCGTTGGACGCTTCCCTGCCCTCCCTCCACTTTCTACGAAGATCGAGGACGTTCCCTACCGCATCAGTTCAATCACAGGCCAGAAGGAGCAGTGCTGTGTCTCATTGGCTGCAGGTAGCCTAGCAACAGAGACTTAATGCTGTCTCTGGATATGCTGAAGTAAACTGAGAAAATAATAAAAACAATAAATATTAT